GGGTTGAAACCTACTGAAAAAAAAAGAAAGAGAAAAAGGGGGGAAAACTTTCCCTCACTCTCGATTCTGTTGGTCCTCCAAAGACCCTTCTTTACTCTTTTTTCTTTCTTAAACCCTCGTCGCCTCCACCTCTCATTATCTATGGAAGCCCTCTCGAGTTCTTCAGTAGTTCATTCGAGATTTGCTGAAACCTCGAAATCTCGCGACTCTTCAATCTCTTCGCTGCTCAAAGTTCCAATCTTTCGATGTGGGTTCTCGAAAATCCATGAAAAGTTCGAGCCTTTGAGGCTTTCTAGATGTGAAGCTAGCGATTTCAAAAGCTGGAGGAGGTTTAGGTCTCTGGCCCATGAAGAGGGGGAATTGAGTAATGGTTCTGGATTGATTCCTGACGAGAGTTCGTCTTTTCTTGAGGTAATTTTCCTTTTCTTTTACATGAATTCGTCTTTCTGATTTAAAAAGTGCCCTGAAAATTATGGTCTTTATTTTTCACATAAAATATTTTGCATTTATGTTCAGTAGGGGAAAGTATAAGATCGAGGTAGGGTATTATGATGTCAAAGGTACCTTTTACTGCACAAAAACTCTAGGTATTATGATGTCGAAGGTCCCTTTTACTGCACAAAAACTCTGGAACTGTTGTGTGAGTTGACTATTATAATTTTATACTATTAACATATTGTGGCAACGAGAAGGCCAGTTTGCTTATCAAGCGATTGTGGTTACTGAGGCGGGCAAGAACAAACTGTATGGTTAAATGCAGTTAGCTCAATTTGAATAGGATATGTTTTACTTTTAGATGAAAAATATTTGAAGTGATTGGCATATACTGTATTTAGATGTAATTGGCCTCAGGTTCATGTTTGCCATCAACTTTGACAGACTGGATACCTTGATATGGGCAATAAGCAATGCTTTTCTTGCCCTAAATGTGAAGCTGGACGTTTCAGAAAAATCATTTTTTATCGCAGATTTAGGAAACTTCTAATAAGTTACTAATTTAACCTAGGACTAGGAGGGTTAAACGGAGAAAACAATTCATGTTTGACTGCCCAGAATCTAGGGGAAAGGCCTTTCTATTGGTTTTCTTTATGTTAACTGGGTATTTCTATCGGAAGCCGTACGCCGGCCATTTACCTGTACCAGTCTACCAGACCTTATTGGACACTTCTTGAATATATGCATATACTTATTCAGGCATATAATGAATTATATATTACATAGTTTTAATTTAAAACACCCATTATACACTTCTTGGACATATATTCTACACTTCACATCTATTTCTTACATGTTGATCTTATGGAAATGAAAAAAGGCAATACTGATCTTATGTAAATTACTGATTTTAATACATATAAATGTACATCTATATAGCCGAGTCCCTGTACCGTAGCTTTTACAAATTTGTGGTGTCCTATGCCCCTACCCATACATGGACCAGTACTTGTACCCATGCAACTTAGGTTTTTGTCGATGTATCCTAAGCTACATCACAGTTAGTGTTTAGATCATGTTGTCATCTCCTTGAAACATGTGCTTGAGGAATAATGACTCCAGTTTAGTTTAGTGTTCTATTGGATATGGTGACACATTATATGAACACCTCTGGTCCTTTAATATAAATAATAAAGTATCATCCTCATGATTTCTCATGTACTACTCAGATTAATTCAAGTGATATTGGTAGCCATGAAGCAGCTATAACTGAAAAGCTAGGAACAATATCACCCAGTAATGATGCGAGTGGGAAAAGTGGATCTAGAGCTGGGCTCTTTAGGACACCAATTTCAGGTGGCGTCCAAAGCGCAACCTCGGTCCATGATCTACCTCCACCTGCCTTGGCTGTTCGCAACCTAATGGAACAAGTAAGTCACTATCTAATGAAAACTTCTTTGGAACTCCTCAACACGTTTTTCTCTTTTTCCTTATTCAGAGCAATATGCTCTGACCATATTTTCTTTAAAACCAGGCAAGGTTTGCTCATTTGTGCACTGTGATGTCTCGAATGCATCATCGTCGTGCTGGATACCCGTTTGGTTCTCTAGTTGATTTCGCACCTGATCCAATTGGCCGTAAGTAGCCATTGGTTTCGTGTGACAACATGCATGTAAAATTTTGTTGTCAACTCATAAGAGATATGTGTACTATTTTCTGCAGATCCAATATTTTCATTTTCACCATTGGCTATCCATACACGGAATTTGCTGGCTGATCCGAGATGCACACTTGTTGTGCAGGTAAACTTGTCTTTATGCTTATTCTTCTTCTTACAGGTTCAATCCTGTCACTTTCCTTACTAATTTATATATCTGAGGAACTTTTTTGATCCTAGATACCTGGATGGAGCGGATTGTCAAATGCACGTGTTACAATATTTGGTGATATTGTCCCACTCCCAGCTGACCAGCAGGTTGCCGTCAAACTATCTTCATTTTTTTTTGTCTTGCGAGGAAAAAGGATCATACTGCATGAGTACTTGTTTTCGCCACCACAATTTTTATGTTAGCATGGAAGCTTTATCTTCTAATCCTCTCCCCTTCTGCTGAAGTCTTAATTGGTTTCTGTAGATTATGCTTTCTATTCATCATTGTTGCTTTCTTGCATCAAACTAAGGTTTTCCAGTGTTTAACCTCTCAAAGTGGGTTTGGCGGTTCCAGGAAATTGAAATGCAGTAGGGCTAGGAGCTAGCTCTTAACTGCCTACTTCTAAGATCACATTAAGAATAGCTTACCATATCTGAGCTTTAAACATACGCTGATGATAAAATTCATAACAAAGTAAGGTATACATACTAAATGATAAAAAAAGAACTGCTACTGTAAGACGTATCACACGAATCAGGACTCGGATTGCATTCTTCTATATATACTTATACGCCTTGCCCCAACTACACATTTCTTATTGTGCATGCTTTAACTCCTTGATTTCCACCAATCCCAATATATTGCGATTGAGTTAACAACTCATAAGTCATAACTGTTCTAACTTTTGAAAAGTTGTTAGCTTGTGGGGCCCCTAACTACCTTTCATTGGACTTGCGTCTTTTCACTTTTGGCTTGCTTGCTTCTATCTAGTATCTACCCATTTGCTTGTGATGTTGGGCTGATGCGCCTCAGTGTCGGAATCCTGCTTTAATATCCTCGGACACTTTACCCATTCCGTTTGCATGCTCATTTCAGACGGACATTATAATTGTGGGAAAGTGAAGGTACAGCTGTTTTCTAATTGCAGATTCATTTTGTAAGACAGAAAGCATGCATCAATTCTTTAAGTTATTCCTATACAGACAAATTGCAACAATGTCCTTATGGTTTTAGTGGGGAACATTTTGCGTTGATATTGTTAACAAGACTGGTATCATTTTAAATAATTATTTGTGCCTCATCAGGATTGGGCTCGTCAGCAGTACATAGCTAAACACCAGCAATGGGCATCACAACAATGGGGAAACTTTTATTACTACAGAATGCAGGACATCAGGTTGCTTCTGAACTCTTTTGCTGTTATAACTTGCAATGAACATTATTCAGTACAAATGCTAGGCATGATAGAGAAAGAAAAAAGTGATATTTTCATGCCTTAATACAGATTTTGTTTGTTATGTAAAGAAATCACCTATTCTTACTACAATTACAATTGCTTTTAAATGAGTTTGTAATAAATTCGATGGAGAAATAAAGTTTGTGTGGCTCTAACTATGATCAATATGACAATCATCAGTGATATATATTTCATTGGAGGGTTTGGTACTGTTCAATGGGTAGATGTCAAGGAATATGAAGCACTTCTACCCGACAAGATTGCTGCTGATGGTGGAGAGCAAAATTTGAAGGTGAGCTATAAAGTTTATGCGTTGCTCTAAGTTTCAAGTTGCATTTACATCACGATAAATTTAACTAATAAAGAATATAGAGTTGAAGATAGCACATAATATTGCTAGCATTTTATTCTTAATTTATGACGCATGGTTCTTTCGAAGCAGGAACTCAATGCAATATTCTCAAAGCCACTTAGAAAAATCTTAGCTACTGAAGGGGAGATAGATGATGCAGCTTTCATATCAATTGACAGCAAAGGCGCTGACATCAGGGTTCGCCAAGGTGCACAGGTAAATATAATAGATAAGTTTTTCGTACTTTCTGTTTTCCTTCACTTGTATTTATTAGTGATATTCCACTTTTCTTCAGTAGATCTAGCTTAAGTTCATGGTAATAAGTGTGCCACTGTTTGCTGTAATCAATTCCTAGGTGCGTAAGCATTTAATATTAAATTGTGTGCATACATTAGATTTTTATTACAGAAGACGCAGTAAATACGCTGCTGTTTCTAACAGCGTGAATGCTCTAGTTACGGTGTTATCGGCTTGAGGTATCGTTGATTGCTTGTTATGTTGGAGAAGGACTAGATGGAAGTAATATTCCACTTCAATTTATTATTTTCTGTCACCGTACAATTTTCAACCACCTTGAACTCCTTTCTTCAGTAGTTCTAGCTTAAGTTCATGGTAATAAGTGTGCTACTGTTTGCTATAATCAGTTCCTAGGTGCGTAAGCATTTAATATCGAATTGTGTGCGTGCATTATATTTTTATTACAGAAGGCACAGTAAATACGCTGCTGTTTCTAACAGCGTGAATGTTCTCTAGTTACGGTGTTATGGGCTTGAGGTATCACTGATTGCTTGTTATGTTGGAGAAGGATTAGATGGAAGTAATATTCCTCTTCAATTCATTATTTACTGTCACCGTACATTTTTCAACCACCTTGAACTCCTTTCATTAGGTTAAAAACTTATGTTTGACTTTTCCCGTTGTCTACAGACCAGTATCCCTTTTTAAAATTTGAATTTACCCATCCATTCTTTCTTTCAATGATCAAATACATAAGAAGCATGGAGAGTATCTAATCTGTTTGATTTGCAATATTCATTTAGATTTAGTTTTTGATGAAATCATACTTCTTTTGTTTATCAAGTGCGCTGACATTGCAAAGTGTGTACATTATCGAATAGTTCATGATTCTGAGATGCCATTAGAAAAATTCAAACAACATATTTAACTTGCCAAAGCCTCTTGATTGATCATCTTTATTCCTCTGCAGTTCAACATTCAGAGGCTATCTTTTGAAGTGGAGAAGGGAGTTGAGACGTTGGAAGAAGCTAAGAGAGCACTTCAAGAAATAGTCAGCAGAGGCCAACCGAAGTTGCAAGATAGAAGTTGAAATCTCGGTCATATCTATAATAAAGGGGTAACGAATTTGACAGTTTTTTTTTCACCAGAAGAGGAGTGAAAACTCAGTTTATCATGTAATCTTAAAGTGAAATGTTTCAGAGTATGATAATATAAGAAGTTTTCTTCAGTTATTTTGAGTTATGAGTTATATGTACAGCTTGAACAATGGTACGCTAATGCTGCTAGGCCTTCTAAGGTTGGGAGCTAAGAAGGCACAATGGACACCGGAAAACATAGGAATTCAGATCTTGAGATGTCCATCTCGGTCAATGAGTTCAAGGAATTTTGATGCCAATGTTGAGTCTTTGGTTCATTTCATGATTGACCAACGAAAAATATGGAAGAGATGACCAAGAGGCTAGGTATTACTAGCGGGCTAAAACAATGATAAACTATTTTAAAATTACGCCTTTATATCGAAGAAACGTTCAGCCAAGAACAACTGAGAAAACGGTTAAGAATAAGAGCTGCATCTACAGGGAGAAGTAAAAAAACAAAAAGGGTTCTGCCTTGTTAAGGAACTTCAGAAGAGAAAAGACGGAAAACACTCATCTAAGACTTTTGCGGAAGGAAAAAAATCAGAAAACAAGAATGAGCTGTTATATTCTAATGAGTTATTTCAAAGAAGCATTGAACTGAAAGAACAATTTGGAGAGCTATTAAGATTAAAAACTGCAGTATGTTTACAAGAAGAAAAAAAGTTAAACACAACATTACAACAACCCATTTCAGTAACACAAAGTGCCTCGTTTATTATTAATATGTCGCTCTCCACCATTTCATCCCCCCTCTACAATCTCTTCAAGCTCTTCTTCCTTGCATCCACCACCTTTTTTCTCTCCATCTGAGGTTTTGCAGCGGTCACAACTGCTTTCTTCTGAACAGCTGAGACGGAGGCTCCACCAATAGAGGCAGTCACTGGAGCAATTGTGTTTTGATCTTGCTCGGTGAGTCCTGGAACTCTAGATGCATGTCCACTAGCAGACTGTGATGAAATCTTGCTACTGTGAACAGGATTAGTCGAATCGATGTTTAGAGAAGTAGTGGATTCTGATATTGCACCGGTCTTGGATTTTGGTTTCTTAAGAGCATGGATCCCGGTGTATAACCTGCAAAGAGAAAAGAGTATTAAAGTATAATCAATATTATGGTTAAGTAGTAGACAAGCACATTGCGTATACATAAACTGATGAACAGCAACAATTTCACGACAAAATCTTTCTATAAATTGTTGATTTTAATATTCTATTAATTGTTGATTTTAATATTCTATTAATTGTTGATTTGAATACATGTGTCACCTCCTGATTTTATAACTAAGGTGTAGCTCGTGATCTCTTATGTTTCAATATATTTTTTTATAAGGGACCCTCTTTAGGATTTTTTATATAGCCATGCTATATGTTCCTGTAGAATATTTCTTTTAAATATTACATAATCTGGTTCCAAGCTCTTAATTTTGCAGAATCAATCATGATTTGGGTGTTTCTGAAAGTTGCTAAGCTTGACTCTGATAGTTACATGCATCCACAGAGACAAAGTGAGTGAGAGAGAGAGAGAGAGAGATTAAACAATAAATCAAAAAAGAAAAGGACATATTGACCTTGCGTGCCTAGCATACTCTTCATAATCCTCAAGCAACATTTTACCAGCCTGCTCATTGAGTGCAGACTCCGGGAAGGGTTCTATCAGTAGGCATCGGATAACCTGTTTTCAGCATTATATGAAGACTACACAGGTTAAAGATCACATATATAGCAAGAGTTAAAGATGGCACACAACTACAATACAAATGAAGATTATACAACAAATATGTCAATATCTCTGCATCAGGAGTGATATGAAAATTCTGAAACTCCAAAAAGATAAGAATGCAAAAATAAAATAAAATAAAATAAAATAAAAAGGGAAGAAAAAGACAAACATTCAAGACAAAGAATTAAAATTTTCAATTTAAAAGTACAGTGTTACTCATAGGAAAAGAGAGAAAATTAACAGCGTTAAACAACAAAGACCATCATTACTCATTAGTCAAACATTCCCCCGCAGACAAGCAGTCAAAGATGTGCTAATAACTCATGCCTAATCAAATATGGAATAATAATGAGTCTAGTCTCCAAAATCCAGAATCCATTACAATTTGTGCATTTTAAAATAAATATCTGAAATATTCTTAATGCATTGATCTCTAATCAACCAGAGAAAACAAATTCCATGTAAAAGAAGTCGTATGCTCTCCCCTAGGCTATAAAAAGGGGGAAAAGCAATCAAGAAGAATTAACTTACTGTCAGAACATGTCTCAATCCAAGACTGGGATTCCAATCCCTCTTCAGCGTATTAACACAAATCTCACCATTTGTTGCAATGTTCGGATGAAAGATTTTAGTCAAAAAATAACCTACAAAGATAAATATCAAGGGTGAGAAAGCCATGGCCAAAGTTATGAAAAGTAGATATTTAATGCACAGAGCTACATTAAGGACAGACCTCTTGGAGGCGATTGGGGAAAGTCACGTGATAACAACAGTTTCATCCGGAATGTACCATTCTCATATGGAGTTCCAGCTAGCATTAAGGGAAGAAAATTGTAAATTGCCATCATCGTCAAAAAAGAATAAGTGGTGTTATGCAATCAATTATTACAATCACCTACCAGGCCCTTCAATATCAGCATATATAATTGAGAAATCATCATCATTAACAACCACTTTAATGCCTTCTGGTGGGGAATCATCAAGATTTTTCAATTCCTTAGCAAGCTGTTTAATGACATTAGGGGGAAGGTTCTCATTGGTTGCCTGCACAAATCGTCCAAAATATTAAATTCTGTATCCGAATTTCGTCAAGAATAGAAATGCTGTCTAACTGTAGTCTGTGTAGAATTTCTTTTTGCATAATTACCATTTGTATGGAACAGAAATGCTGGGTGAAACGATCTTGAGAATCCTCGTTGTTTTCCAAAGGATATGAAACTTGGATCCACTAAGATTACTTGGAATCTAAAATTTGTTTAGATTAATGCCTTCGAAGTCCTGAAGAAAGAGTCGAGTGATAAAATCTCCACTTCAGCTCACAAAGGTCTGCATATAGTTTGAATTGTCAAAAATTGGAATACCAAAAAAATAAAAAAACAATAACATCTATATGATGGAAAGTAACAAGACTGATAATTAGAACATAGTAAAGCCATAAACAATTCAGCTTATACTAACTACCACTTTACACATTCACATTTAGAAAAACCTTCACTGCAGAAACATTGGTAATGATAAGATGGAAAGTAACAAGACTAACAGCTAGTACATAGTACAGTTATAAATAGAGCTCTCAGCTTTTACGCAAACCACAGCCTTTTCCCTATTTCATGAAAGCAGAAAGAAGGAACAAGCTTACGTAATAACACACACGTTAGTAATTAGCAACCTTTGATAAAATACAGTTTGACTCCATCTCTTAGCCTATATGATAGACATCAGGAGGCACACAATAGCCATTCAGAGGGAATTAATTTTAGATAGTATTACAGAATGTTCAATTTATGTCCAAAATCACCAGACGAAACACCTACGCATGGACAGTTTGTTTCCAAAACCACCCAACAAAATAGTACTCTAAAAGCACATACGCTTATTGAGCTAGAAGTCTTATACAGCCTATATGATAGACATCAGGAGGCACACAATAGCCATTCAGAGGGAATTAATTTTAGATAGTATTACAGAATGTTCAATTTATGTCCAAAATCACCATATGAAACACCTAAAAGCATGGACAGTTTGTTTCCAAAACCACCCAAAATAGTACTCTAAAAGCACGTACGCTTATTGAGCTAGAAGTCTTATACAGCCTTCAGAGGGAATTAATTTTAGATAGTATTACAGAATGTTCAATTTATGTCCAAAATCACCAGACGAAACACCTAAGCATGGACAGTTTGTTTCCATCTCTTAGCCTATATGATAGACATCAGGAGGCACACAATAACCATTCAGAGGGAATTAATTTTAGATAGTATTACAGAATGTTCAATTTATGTCCAAAATCACCAGACGAAACACCTAAGCATGGACAGTTTGTTTCCAAAACCACCCAAAATAGTACTCTAAAAGCACATACGCTTATTGAGCTAGAAGTCTTATACAGCCTATATGATAGACATCAGGAGGCACACAATAGCCATTCAGAGGGAATTAATTTTAGATAGTATTACAGATTGTTCAATTTATGTCCAAAATCACCATACGAAACACCTAAGCATGGACAGTTTGTTTCCAAAACCACCCAAAATAGTACTCTAAAAGCATGTACGCTTATTGAGCTAGAAGTCTTATACAGCCTTCATGCTTACAACCACGATAATATGAATATCAGGAGACAAGACATGCAACACTCTGTCCGTCCTAAGAGACATCCAGCCGTGGATATTTGGATATATACAGAGAACATTACCCAATATCTACTAAACAAAACAGAAACAAAGGATGCATGCAAGAATATATGATATCTATAGTGGTGTTAAAACACAAGGCTTATGCAGCCACATAAACATAATGGGGGCCCAGTTCTGCATGGAACTTGCTTTATGTGGCTGGACATAGGGTCAGGTCATGAAGGTGAATACACTGACGCATAATAGTTAAAAGATCGGATCCAAATCCGCCATGGGTTCAAACTTGAAATAAGAATCACCACTATGAAAATCTAATGAACTGCAACCCTATTTCCCAAATTTACTCATGAATGAATACCTTCCCTTTCCAAAAATTGTATGTGGTTGAGGAGTACTCCATGCAGCAGAATGCCAAGATAGCGATGGATGATAATGACACCACCTAGTCACAATATATAGTGAAAGCAATGGCAACAACATAATGATTTTGAGAGGTTAATTTATTAGTTCTTTTTTTTCAAAGTTTCCATTCTTTAATTATTTCTATTTTTCAAATTTCTTACTGATAATGTATACATGTGCCATTAATGCAAATACCTCTCAATATGCGACCACTCAGTATGCTTCTAGAGTCTTAATTTTCTTGAAATATAGCCTATAGGTGTTTTCTTAGTAATTTCATTAGTATATATCATATTTTTTCTGCTTTTCCAGATTTAATTGGATGTTTTAACATTTAATACAATATTATAATCCTTTTTATGCATTATGTCTCTCAAACTAAACATGCTTAAATATTAATTTTAAACCTTCTAAAGTAACAAAGATGGATGATTAATTCTGCAATTCTATGTGAATAATGAAGTCGGAGTATGTGCATGGTTAACGTACATTCATTTCACTGATTTTTTCCAGCATCTTAACACACTTTATAGGTGTTATAATGTTTTTCTTATTACATTTTCAGATAAAAAGATAGACAACATGCTTGAGACTTAGTAATTATGCACACAGGTGTGCTTCCAGAGTTCATTGGATATTTTCACATTTAATATGTATAATATTAAAATTTTAATCTGAATAATCTGTTTAATCAGTTTATAATCTTTTTTATGCATTATATGTTCTCGAACTAAACATGTTTAAATATTAATTATACATCTCATAGCATAACAAGGATGATATGTTTTGTAGTGCTATGTGAATAATGAAGTTGGAACATGTGCATGGTTAAGGTGCATTCATTTTTCACTGCTCTTTCTTCTAGTATCTTAACACATTTTAGGTGTTGTAATGCTTTTCCTACTACATTTTCAGATAAAAAATTAAAATGACATGTTTGAGACTTGGTAATTATGCATAAAGATGCTGGTTATCATGGATGTTCTTATTATGTGCATGGGCATATGCACGAATACACCTTTTTATGGACATGCATGCCTTACTTCCTTGCATAGATACATGCGTGTATACTGTCTAAAACTTAGCCCTTCATTGCCCCCACCATCAATGGCATATGCATGAAGACACCTTTTTATGCACAATAAGGCACAAGCATATATTACCTTCTTGCATATGTGATCGCATGCGTGTCTACAACCCGCCTTTTAAAAAGACATGCTTGACGCTTAGTGATTATGCATTTTAAGTGTGGGTGATCAAAGAGATCCATATTTATGTGTATGGACATATCACATATGCATGACTTACCTCCTTGCATAGATGGATGCGCATGTTGCTACAGCTCAGCCCCTTTGTCACCCCCACCCTCATCGACATGGTGACAACAACTTATGCACATCAATGCGCAACCTTATATTACCTCCTTGCATATATGTGTATAGGCATATCACATATGCATGAATTACCTCCTTGCATAGATGAATGGGCATGTGGCTACAACTCAGCCCCTTTGTCACCCACATCCTCATCGGCATATGTGTGACAACAACTTCTTATGCAAATCAACGCGCATCCTTATATTACCTCCTTGCATACATGCATGCGTCTTAACCCAACCCCTATTCAAGACAACATTCTTGAGTCACAGTGATTATGCATATAGATGTGGGTATTCATGCATCTTCATACTTGTGTACATGGGCATATGCTTGAATACACCTTTCATGCACATGCATGAATTACCTCCTAGCATGGATGCATAAGCCTGTCTAAACAACTCAAACACCTTCCCTAAACTATTCTCATGGGCATAAACGTGAAGAAACCTTTTTATGAAGGTGCATCCTTATATTATCTCCTTGGATACATGCATTCCCGTGTGCATAACCCAACCCCATTCTTCCTCACTTCTCACCGCCATGATATTCCCCTCCAAAGTATTAAAAAAACCCTCTATATCTAGTCTCAAAAAATATTACATTTGCATGTTTGTGCATGTTCACATTTCTTTCTTGTCTCTATGTCGACATGTACATTTGCATATACTTGCACAACACGTCGGATTATTAAACTAACCCTTGTGTCCCAACTGATTTTTTAAAGTTGTTGCTACATCAAAAAAAAAAGGTCACAACTACGAGAAACACTCTGTTTGAATTCAAAATCGCATCCCTTATTCTCCTTTCAAAGGTAAAACTCTCATCCTCTTAAAGTTAACCGGCAAATAGAAAGAAGTAAAACATTGCTAAACAAAGTCCACTTTCCATTCATTGATTGCAAGTTTGTTGTCCTACAAAAAGGGGGAAAAACTTATTTACATTCCAAAGATGACTGTTCTAAGATGCTCGAGCTCCGTCCAAAATATTTTGCATCTTCAGCAGGTCAATATAGTTTCTGAACTTACGAAATATCTTTCTCAAAGCAGACGCGAAAGTTAACTGAAAAAAAATCGCTCCAAAAAACAAATAACATCACCTATTTGACAAACTTCAACAAGATAATCAGTGCCAGCAAAACATCTTCTGTTCCCTTTAGATATACAATGACGATGTCTTCAACATATTGTATAGTGAGAAATAAGGTCGATAACAGGTAATTGAAATTAATTATTGTAATAATTGAAGCCTCCAATCATGCAGTGTCTTAAAGAATTAATTCAGAATCAAGCACAACCTCAGTGGTTATATTTCTAATCATTTTTCGGTAGCAAGTAACCATTGCAATCTACATGTCTCAATAGTTAAGCCCACCCTACATCCTCCTAAAATAAAAACTCCAATCATACTGACTTTAAAAGTCCTTGATCCGATCCTAAACAAACAATATTGAAACTTTTGGCTCCGCTGATTACCACTGTAGAAAAATCAGAAACACAAAGCATCCATATTCATTATAAGCTAAAGTTCATAAGTAAAGATCTTCGTCAAGTAACGAGAGAAAGAATAAAAATCAGGCTACAATAAGTTCACAAGCAATATTGCAAAGGAAAATAATTCTCCAGAAGTTACTTAGAAGGAAATAGGGACACAAATCATAGAAAACAAGACATGCAATTATATAATGAATCGAAAAAGACAATAATGTAATGAAAGAACTAGCCTAAGGGAACAAATTGATTATAGGAAGAGAGTTTTTTTTTTATCTAAACAAAAGGAAATGAGTTAATAAAGAAAGAAACTCCTGAAGAAGAGCACTTAGCTTCATGAAATCAATCAGCTGTAAAGGAGAAAAACATTTGCAACTAAAGAAAGAATGTTTCTTTCATGTGAACTTAAGTACAAAAATAAAGGATTAAGGATCAAGAAATCGACCATTATCCTGTAAACAAACAACAAATTAGAGAAAAGTGAAGAATCATCATATGGGCAACAGATATTGGATCTTGATTAACTAAAACTCTACCCATGAAAGCCCATAAGCACAGTGAGAGATCAAACTGAACATTACTACCAAAAATCGAGCGTTTAGACAAATTATCAAAGAACCATACAGAAAATATCACAAGAAACCACGGATTTAGAATACCTTGCCCTAATTCACAGAAGAAACGAAAAGATCACCAATGCGATTCTAAAAGCTTAATTTCTATCAAATCAATTGAGGAGGAGGAGGAGAAAGGGATGACTCACCTGAAACTTTCGAATTTTCCTTTGGATTCGAGGGATTTTTCACGTGAGATTTGGGCTTTGGGGGAAGAATTTAGGTTAGGAGTAAGAGGGAGAGAAATACGTGGCAAAGTTTCACGAGACAAGTTCGTGTAACATCTTGGTCTAAATCAAACACCGGATCTTACCTACGATTCCATGAATTGACTAAAGAGCCCTTGCACTGAAGTGTATAATTATGCTTTCGTTTGGGAGGTATTATGGTAAGTTTGACGAATATCGAGTGTATAGTTAGGAATAAGTGCATAGTTGACGAAACTACCCCAGGAAATGACCGTTGATTGAAACGTCAGCGGTCGGGTGAACGGGGCCCACGCCACGTCCGGGTGTCGCTCAGTAGGTAGCCGTTGTAATTGCCAGCTGGTGAGAGAATCCGACTGCTGGGATGCAATGGATGGGGAAATAAATTATTTCCTTTTTAGTTTTTATATACATTGTATTTATGTGCTCTTTCATAAGATTGCCGAATGCTACTAGTTACGAGTATCACACCCGTGCTGGCAGGGACGGCACCATAAATAAAATATGGAACCATTGAGGGATTTATTAAGATTAATGTTTAACTCTCAAAGCCGGATGCTTCGTTTCTCCGAAAATTATTTTACCGTAAAAACGTTTCTCTATTTTTTAAGGCTAAATGACACTTAAATACCTTATAGTTTCACTCTATTGATACTTATATACCCTCAATTGAATTTCATAGCATTTATACACTCTGAGTTGGTTAAAATTGGCACGTTAATGTGACGCAGCGTGGAAGTTGTAACCTCGGAATCTACCAATGGTGTTCTCTAAATCCACAAAGAACGATCTTCGAATCCACGAAGAGTTTCGAATCCATGAAGAATATTGAGGAAAAACGAAATTTTATTAATCACAAGTTATGCCTCTAGGGCTTACAAGACTCTTCTTAAATAGAAAAAGAAACAAGACTCCTACAAGGACTCTAATTCCTACAAGGACTCTCAACTTACCAAAAATTGAAAAAAATTCCTAAAACATTAAAACTCCTAAAAAGACTCCTTATGATTAGGAAAGTCCTCCGGTCAAATCTGATATCAAATCCGATTTGTTTCCTAAACAAAACAGACTCCTAAAATATTACTAAAAATAGTAAAACACGGACAAAACTGTAAATACTTCTTATTCTTCAGCTTGTTGTAGGTGGCCACGGGAAAACGTTCTTTTCGCAGAAACACCATCACCATGTCTCCTTCTTCAAACACCTTCTTCCTCCTGTGTTGATCAGCATCGGTTTTATATTTAGCATTAGACTGCTCTATCTTTTCCTTCACCTCCTGCTAGATAGCACGTATCTTTTCAACCATATGATCCGCAGGAACACTCTGTCCAGGAAGTTTAGGCAGCGGGGCTAGATCAAGATAGTGATTCGGAAGCCTTCCATACACAATTGCAAAGGGTGCCTTGCCTTTAGTCCGACTCTCCATACAGTTGTAGGCAAATTCAGCATGTGCCAAAACAAGATCCCACTGTTTTGGTCGATCGCCAGAAATAGATCTAAGAAGATTGCCGAGGGTGCGATTGACCACTTCAGTTTGGCCATCTGTTTGAGGGTGATAGGCAATACTGAACTTGAGAGAAGTGTTGAATCTCTGCCACAAAGTCTTCCAAAAGTGTGATAAGAACTTGGAATCTCTATCGGATGTGATGGATTTTGGCACTCCATGAAGACAAACTATCTCCCGAAAGAAAAGATTGGCAATGTTGCTCGCATCCGCAGTCTCCTGTCAACCACAACAAAAACAGAATCCATGCCTCGTTGGGTTCGAGGCAGTCCCAACACAAAGTCCATAGAGATATCATGCCATGGTGCATCAGGAACAGGTAAAGGTGTATACAATCCCGTATTCTGAGACTGTCCCTTAGCAACTTGACAAACTGGACAACACCGCACATATCTTTCTGCTCCCTTCTTCAACTGAGGCTAGTAATATCGTTCTTCAATTGCTGCAATTGTTTTATCACGTCCCAAATGTCCTCCTAGTCCGCCAGCATGAAGGTCTCGAATTATCTGCTCTCTTAGCGGACTCTGGGGTATGCACAATTGATCGCCATGAAATAGATAACCATCCTGAATATGAAAGTCTTTGACTGATTTATTTTGAAGACAGTCGTCCCAAATCTTCTTAAAATCTTCATCCTCTGCATACAGCTCCTTAAGGTACTCAAACCCAATCACTTCAGCCTTCAAAGTTACCAACAATCCAGCTCTCCTACTGAGTGCATCTGTAACCTTATTCTGCTGCCCGGATTTATGCTTCAAAACAAAGGTGAACGCTACAAATATGCAATCCAACGAGCATGCATACGGTTGATGGTAGTCTGACTATTAAGGGTCTTCAAAGCCTGATGATCAGTGTGGAGCAGAAACTCTCTCGAGATCAAATAGTGCTCCTAATGCTTCAAAGACTGAACTATGGCATATAACTCCAGCTCATATGTGGTCCACTTCTGTCGAGCTTCGCTGAGTTTCTCACTGTAAAAGGCAACTGGACGCCCTTCCTGCGATAAAACACCACCAATTCCTATGATGGACGCATCACAATCAACTTCAAAGACTTTTTGAAAATCTAGACGTGCAAGCACAGGTGCGGTGGACAACTTCTCCTTGATCGGTGCAAAGCTACGATCTGCATCTTCCCCCTAATTGAACTTTCCTTTCTTCATGCATTCAGTTATAGGTGCTACAATGCTGCTGAAATTCCTTACAAATCTCCTATAGAATGTTGCTAGGCCATGAAAACTACGAACTTCGCTGACAGTCTTCGGAGTAGGCCAATCTCTAATAGCACGAACTTTCTCTTCATCAACATGAATACTCTCTGCAGTAACAACAAAGCCTAGAAACACGAGGCTACTGGTCATGAAGTTGTACTTCTTCAGATTGATGTACAACTTGTTCTCCTGCAAAACTGTTAGTACCTCCCTCAAGTGGTCCAGATGTGCAGCCTCACTCTGGCTGTAAATCAGGATATCATCAAAGTAAACTACGACGAACTTGCCAATAAAAGGTTTTAATACCTGATTCATCAATCGCATGAAAGTGCTAGGGGCATTAGAAAGACCAAAAGACATGACTAACCACTCGTACAAGCCTTCTTTTGTCTTGAAAGCAGTCTTCCACTCATCTCCTTCCCTAATTCGAATCTGATGATAGCCGCTCTTAAGATCTATCTTGGAGAACACTTTTGAACCATATAACATGTCTAGCATGTCTTCCAAGCGTGGAATAGAAAATCTATACTTCACTGTAATCTTGTTGATAGCCCTACTGTCCACACACATACGCCATTCTCCGTTCTTCTTTGGGACTAGTAGTGCTGGCACTGCACATGGACTCATGATAGGTCGTATAAGGCCCTTCTGGATGAGATCATCCACCCGCTTCTGCAAAATCTCTCCTTCCTTCGGACTCATCCTATAGTGTGGCAGATTTGGTAGTCGAGATCCAGGGATAAGGTCAATCTGATGTTGAACGTCCCTAAGCATGGGTAATTCAGAAGGAAGATCATCAGACATAACTGCATCAAACTGCTGTAAGAGGGTCTGTACTGTTAGACCCTAGAGGGGGGTGATTAGGGTCTTATGCTAATCTAATCCGATTAAATGTCAATTAAAACTAATTAATAAGTTATCCTAGCAAGTATGAAATACAATAATATATATTAGCTAGGATAAGTAATATAAACAACAAGATATATATCCTATATGATAAAAATATATAATGCAAGGATATATAAACTAACACAAGGGGTAAACAATCTAAACAAGATAGTGAATGAAATAAATGAGCAATGCACAAATGGCGATATAAGATGAATGCAAAAATAAATACGCCAAAGCACACTCAAACACAATCAAATGATCACGGAGTTCGGACCTTCCGTCCTACGTCTCCGCTCCCCACTCCCGGGGAGAAATCCACCATCACAACCGGGTTTTCTACGCTCACCCGACAGTGTCGGTTTTCAACGCTCACCGAACAACGTTCACTCCTCACACTCGGTTTTCTAGTTCACCGAAAACTTCACAACACACTCGGTTTCTAGCTCACCGAAAACCTAACAACACTCTCACAATGTAACAAATGTAAATGTGTTCTCTACAATAGATGAGAACACAATTAAGCACAACTCAATGTTACAATCTCTCACAACCCTAATATACTATGTATGCAAATACAATAAGCTCAAGTGGGTGTGTGTAATAATAAGATAAAATCAAATCAACTAAACTCAATATAAAACTAGCTTTAATAGAAATGATAATTAACAAATAACAAATGAAAGCTAGAGTAGAGTTTAGAAAACTTCTCAATGGAAGACAAGATGGAGAGATGGAGATTGGAGCCCAAACAAGAAGATGATCTCCTCCACTTGTGAAAACTTCTTCACAAACAAAACAAACCCTTAAACAAACTTAAACCCTTGTTTAAAACTTATTTAAAAACTTCTTAGATAGATGAAAACTGAGATCAAAGAGAGTATTTATATCCTCCAAAACCTCAGCTAAAAATCCCAAATAAAAAGACAAAAACAGCCCCAAGCAACGGTAAGAAAACTAGCCGTTGGAAGCTGAAAAAGATCCTCCAAAACCTCAGCTAAAAATCCTAAGTCAAAAGACAAAAACAGCCCCAGCAAACAGCTCAAGGAAATAGCCGTTGGAAGCCAACGGATCTATTGTCGGTCGACCGAAAATTTCGTCGGTCGACCGACGGAGAGCAAAAACACGAAGAAGCAGTTCTGGACCATCGTCGGTCGACCGGTGCGGTCGACCGATGGAGCTTTCGGTCAACCGGACCGGTCGAACTGACATATAAAAATCTGATTTGCTGATTTTAAAATGTTGTTTAAAAATATCAAATAAATTCCAAAAAATATAAAACTTTGGGGAATGATTGTAGACATGATAATAAACATGCTACAGTGACTGGTTATCAGAAAGGACCTCCCAAATGAAAAATATCATTATTTTACAAAATAGTCCAAAACATAAAAATATGAGATACTTGTATATGATTATTGTTGGGTCCAAAAACTAAGAATACAATATTTTCACAAGTATGCATATTCTATGCAATATTTTCAAAACACTAAATATGATTTCATTTAATATAAGCTTGTTAAAGGTGAAATCATATATATACATATAAGCATGAAACAAAATAGCCACCAAGGTGGCCGGCCGAGCCACCAAGGTGGCCGGCCGAGCCACCAAGGTGGCCGGCCGAGCCACCAAGGTGGCCGGCCGAGCCACCAAGGTGGCCGGCCGAGCCACCAAGGTGGCCGGCCGAGCCACCAAGGTGGCCGGCCGAGCCACCAAGGTGGCCGGCCGAGCCACCAAGGTGGCCGGCCGAGCCACCTTTTGGTGGCTCGGTGGCCGAGCCACCCAGGTGGCCGAGCCACCCAGGTGGCCGAGCCACCCAGGTGGCCGAGCCACCCAGGTGGCCGAGCCACCCAGGTGGCCGAGCCACCCAGGTGGCCGAGCCACCCAGGTGGCCGAGCCACCCAGGTGGCCGAGCCACCCAGGTGGCCGAGCCACCCAGGTGGCCGAGCCACCCAGGTGGCCGAGCCACCCAGGTGGCCGAGCCACGGATCTGGGCCCAGATCTGGACCCAGATCCGGTTTCAAATGCCTATAAATAGACATGAGGGCTCATTGTTTTGGAGGTTGGAACTTTTTGAGGCGAAACTTTGCTGGATTGAGAGCTCAACTTTGGATTTTTGAAGCTTTGAAGACTTGGACATTTTTAGATCTGGTTCTTGGTGATCATCCACGTCAAACAAGGCAGCAGTTCGAGGGAGATCAGATCTGAGATCCACACGGTTATCCTCCGGATCAAAACTTGGTTTTTGATCCCGAGAAGAGTATCGATTTCGCTTGGTCGATTTCGATTACTAAAGGCTATTATTTCCTTGGTGAAATAATCTCTCGGCTGTTATTTCCTTCGTGAAATAACACCCGACATACCGTGTAGATCCGACCGGATCAAGATCGTGCGGTGTTCCATAGATTAACCCCGGCGCAGGCAAAGAACCCACACAAGCAAGAGACCGCAAAACAGGATCATGCGATTTGTTCGGATAGAAGGAGAGTTGTAATTTTCTTTTTTTATTTGATTTTGTTGTAACCGGATCTTATAAAAAGATTGAATCTTTTGTAACCGAAAAACTGTTGCTTAAGAAAACAATGACGTCAATGAAAGAAATTTTCCCCGCGAACAGCCTTGCCTCCTTGAGGGCTTGGCCTTTCTCCTCTATAGCGTCAACGGCCATCTACCGTCGAGACCCATGTTCCTCCAACTCCCCTATCAGCTGTTCGTGAGCCTTCTCCTGGGTGGCCAATAGGGCTTGAGAGTTAGCAATGATTTATTTGGTCTCCGCTATCTCCGAAGATAGGCGGGAGATACAGGAGTCAACTTTTTGGTGCTCTTTGATCACTCGCTCGTCCTCGGCCGTAACGCGCTCCAGCTCTTTCGTCAGCCTCACCTCCAACGATGTCATCTCCACCAGTCTATGATCCCGCTCCTTCAATGCTATTTGGACCTCGCCAGATGCAAGATGAAGGATCTCAGGGCTCGTAGCGCGAAGGGTGAGTAGCTGTTGAATAGTCTGCTCTGCCTCCTCCAGATGCTTGAAATAAGGATTGGCGGTGGACACGCCAAGCATCTTGATCAAGAAGCCCATGTGATAATCAAGAGCCTCTTTGAACTTTTCGAAAGGACAACTTTCTTCCAATGCGAGCTTGACGCTGTCAGCAAGAGTGTCTTGGAAGTTAGCGAGGGTCGATCAACCGCCCTCTTGCATGAACGAGCCAAAGGAGAGAGGATATCCTCATCAACCGCAGATGTCACCGCTGGAGCCCGGATCGAAGCATTGGTAGCCACAGTAACGGAAGTGGTGGTGGATACCACTAAGACTGAGGCACCGACCGATGCCATTGGGGTCTCAGCCACAGATCCAACCACAACCGTGGCAGTCACCGAGATATGGGACGAGGGAACGACCACCAACTGAGTGGATGTCACCCCTCGGGCCAGGGACTCTTGAGCGGGTGTTTCACCCCTAACCAACGCTTCTTCAGGAATGAGGACTTCTCCTTGTTGGTCTGACACCTCTCCATGAGCCGACCCCTCCTCCTCGCTCGACATCGCCTCATGGATCGAAGCGTCGTCTTCTTCCTCTGATTCACCTGAGTTGCCGAGCTATGCTTTATCTCCAGCTCCCCCCTCTTCATCGGAAGGAATGGAGTTCACTCTCTCAACCGTACCTACATTAAGTCAACACAAACGTCAGGTAGTGCAAATTCGACCTTACACCCGAGGATACGGTATTAAGAAGTCACCTTCTAGTACGATCGTTGAGGTCATCGAAGCCCAGTCACGGGGGTAGTTACTCCAGGAATTGGCACAGGAGTAGCATCATCCTGTCCTTCTGCCGCTCGGGTAGCCTTAACCGTCTCCTCATGACGAACCTTCTTAGCCACCTCCGCCCTTGAGCTGCCGGCCGCAGCCTCCCGTTGTCATTTAGAAAGTAGCGAACTACCTAGAGATAGAACAAGCATCCCCATCCATCCAGCTATTATTCCCTAGATCTGCTCTAGGCGTTCACCCACCCGGAGCAGCTCATCAGATTCTCTCTGCCCACCGGTAGGGTCCAACGAAGGACCAGGAGACAGAGCATGTTCCTC